ACTAAGAAGGGCACCGTGGCTCAGCACTGAAGTGGGAAACAAATGTCCCTCCCAGGCATTCTCTCTCCCTCTCTCTCTCTCTCTCATTCTGTCCGGATCCTGCCAGGGTGCTGGAAGGGTCAGGCTATGGGAAGTCCATAGAGGCCACATGAGGAGGGGAGGGCTGAGGACTGGTGGTGATGGGAATGCCATTCACAGAAACACGGAAGGCTACGGCCACTGCCAGGGCCTGGGGTGTGGAAGGAGGTGGAGGGCAGGCATGGAAGCTGGGAGACAGAAGGGAGCTGGCCTTTCAGGGTCAAATCCAGAATCCTTAGGTGTGCAAGGGTTGTTCCTCTGTTCTATACGTGGCAGCATGGGCAGAGAGGATGCTGGTGGTGGGAGGGTTGTATGTCTTGAGATTGTAGGTGGAAAGGTAAGAGGCTTTGAAGGTTTGTTTTGGACACATCCCACCTTTTTCTTTTTCTTCTCTTCTTCTCTTCTCTTCTTCCTCCCTTCCTCCTTTCCTTCCTTCCTTTCATTTCTTTTTGAGAGGGCCTCACTCTGTCACCCAGGCTGGAGTACTGTGGTGTTATCACAGCTCACAGCAACCTCAAACTCCTGGGCTGAAGCAATCCTCCTACCTCAGCCTCCCAAGTAGCTGGGGCTACAGGTGTGTGCCACCACATCTGGCTAATTTTTTTTTCTGTTTTTTTTAAATATAGATGGGGTCTCACTATCTTGCTCAGGCTGATCTCAAACTCCTGGCCTCAAGCAGTCCTCTTGCCTTGGCCTCCCAGAGTGCTAGGATCACAGGTGTGAGCCTCCGTGCCCAGGTGCTTCCTACTCTTTCTGTCTCCGGTCTCCTTTCTCTCCTGCCATGCATCATGCTGACCTGGGACTGTTTCCCAGTATCTGAAAAGTGGTCATCTCCAGCCATGCTCACCTGGATGAGTCAGGAATAGTTGAGTTTGAAACCTTACTCATTCCTACTTAATCCTATAGTTAATCACCTTCCCGAGGAAGGTGAAATACTGCGGTGTATTCTAGGAGTAATTTTGTAGAAGAGCTATGTTAAGGGCTGTCTCTGAAAAGAGGGACCCTGTTGTCTGTGTTTCCCGCCTCCAGCCAGCTTTCACTCTGGCTGAGAGCAATTATGCCCATTTTCCCTTTTTTTTTTTTTTTTTTAACCTGGGAGAAATGTGTCCTCTGCATTGTTGAGGAGACTGGATAAATGAGACAGATAGAGGGGGGCAGGTATGAGGAGGTGACAGAGTTGGCTGCCGAGTTACCTTTGTGATCCATCTCTGCAGAAGCCAGAGTTAATTCCGTGGAGACTCAGCAAGACTGATATCCAACAGTGACAGTTTGGACATCTAAACATGACCTTGGATGTGCGCACAACCGCAGCTGAAACTATGCCAACTTCTCAGAGTCGTATATCACAGGGGCTGCATAACCGTGCTGGAAATTGGCTGGGTTCGGAGCGTTAGCGTCTTTGCAAACGAACCTCTTTGGCCTGTGGTACAGCGTTGTGTGCTGGGACAGCTTCCGTTTCAGTCCATTTTCAGTAATTAGCTGCTCACGAGGAGGCCCAGGATGGTCCTCCCATATCCATCTGGAGGTTGCGAGATGCCCTCATGGTGGACTTCAGGAACAATTATTCAAGCAGTTTAGTGTGTGTTGGGCAGCACTTCCTGCTCCATGGCCGTTCACCTGGTGTCTGGTCAGATTTCAGCCTCTCGAGAGAAATATGAAGGACTCTGCTTCTGGCTTCCCAGAACACACCAGTTACAGGAAAGTTCTCTCCTGTAAAGTAACGGAAAATCATTTCAGACAGGGGTCATTTCCTAGTGCCCATTCACTCTGCTACTCTTGTCTCAGAAACCACGTGTCTGAAGTAGTGGTTCCCAAAGAGTGGTCCCCAGACCAGCAGCATGAGTGTCACCTGGGTTGCATCAGACATGCAGATTCTCAGGCCCAGCCCAGACCTACTGGATCAGAAACTCTGCAGCCAGAGGCCAAGCAATCCCTGTTATATCACGTCTACCAGGTGATTCTGATGCACAGTGAATTTGAGATAACTGATTTAAATTTTTTTAGGAAGCCCTATAAGGACATTCAAGAATATCAAATTAAAAAAAACAAAAACAAAAACTGGGGTGAATCCTGGTTCTGCAGGGTACTATCACTGTGCTGTTAGTCAATGTGGATAATGTTTCTTAGCCTCAGTTAAACCTATCTGTAAATTGGCATTTATCGTTCACTTTATAGTGAACCCAACCAAGTTTTTGAGATGGTAAAATAGTGCATATAGGGGGCTTGCACAGTACCAGCATATAGTGAGATGTGTTTGATAAACATTGGCCATGAATGTGAATTTCTCCAGTTCTACTTGGATCCGCCCTTCAGGTTATTAATGTAAACAGTATCCCGGGTATGTAATTAGCAAAGCAAGCTGTGGAGTGTGTTGTCCTTCTTGAGGGATTTCAAACCAATGTGCTTCCAAATCCATGTTTCAAGAGAGGCAGCCTGACACAACAATTATCAGGTCTGCAGGGGGCATACGGGAAGGTAGGACGTCAGGTGCACCCTCCGTTGGCTGCACTTCTCCCCTCGTTCACACTCAGAGTCTGTTCTGGATATTGTCATCGAAGCCAAAAGGAAAGCTTAGAGTGCACTCTAGGCCTGTCCAATCTTCATGTGCATTCCATTTACCTGGATATCTTATTAAAATGTTTTCAATTCATTACATCTCAGATGAGACCTGAAACTGAATTTCCAGCAAGCTCCCACCCAGTGATGGTGATTCTGCTGTTTTGCTGACCATACTTTCACACTGCTAAGTCAGTGCTTCTCAAACCCTAACGTACATGTGACTCATTTCTAGATCTTTGCTACTCAAGCAATGGTCTAGGGGCCATCACCATTGCCATCGCCTCAGAGCTTACTAAGAATGCAGACTCTCAGGCCCCAACCCAGACCTACTGAATCAGCATCTGCTCTTCGGCAAGATCCCACGTGACTCATAAGCACAGTAAGGCTGGAGATACGTTCAACGCTGGCTCTGTGGCTTGGTTCATCTGCATAGGAACCTGCACTTGGTTTAATGCTCTGCTCTCACCATCTTGAAATTCTTGTTGATTCTTGAACAAAGGATGTTTTCATTTTTCACTGGGCCCCACAAATTATTTAGTTGGTCCTGGATACACACCTCTACACCAGTGGTTTTCAAACTTTAGCGTGTGTATGACCCAACTGGGCTATTGTTGTAAATTCATATTTTGAGGTTTTCTAAAGACTTTGAACTAGTAGCCTGGGGGGCGAGACCAAGAATCTGTAATAGATCACTCATGTGGTTCTAAAGTAAGTGGTCCATGCCCACTTCGAAAAATAGTCCCCTGATCTTTCCCTAGTTAGGTCTTCTACCATTTTCATGCTGTGTCGGAGTGACGCCAGAGAGACCCTACATCTCTCCTACATTGCCAGAAAATGCAATAAGCTACTCAAAACTTGCTGGACACCAGAGCAAAGGTGCTTCTGGGTGGGCAGTTTTCCCCACAGGAGCTCTCAGCAAAGCATCCAACTGTGCCTAAGTGGCCCTGCAATAATGGTGTGACATTTACGCAAATAAAGCAGAAAGGATGCACAGTGCGGGATGTCTCATCCGGAAAGGTACTGCCTGAGGAAGCAGGTGTGTTCAGTAGCAGTTGTATGATGGTCACAGACCATTTTGAGAATCCAATGGAAGCAATTGTCCCTCTACCTGAAAAAAATCACCTTTGCATATTCTGAGATGCACACAGGACCAGGAATTAGGAGACCTGGCTGAGAGGTCCAACTTTAGCACTTCTTAGCTCTTTCCTTGGACAAGTCTCCAGACCACTCAGAACCCTAGAGTCCTGGTCTTTAAAGTAAAGAATATGCAGGAGCCTCTACCGCACAGATTTGTTACAAAAATCAAATGAGACAGCTAGAATGTAAACGTGCTTTGTTCACTGTAAGAGAATGTATGCATTTGAAGCATCATTCTACGTACCGTGCTGCGTTGCTATTTTGAGCACTGTCGTTAGGATCAGGACACTATTTATGAGCTTAGCCCAAGGCCATAGCTCATACTTGGTGTAGCGAGAGAGGAAAACGAATGCAGACAGGAAGACATGATGAGGACTTGGCGAGAGTTGCTGGGAAATTTGGAAGGGTGGAAAAGAGGAAGGGAGCTTCCACAATTTGAGGACTCCAGATGCAAAAAGAAAAAGAAAGAAAATCTATTTTTATACATGCAGACAGTTTTGAGATTTTGGAAAATGCCTTTAGTCTAGCAGTAACTGCACATTTCTGCCCTGGGTGTAATGAAGACAAATAGCAATGGTGATGGTCCATATTTAGTTTTGACTTCAGAAGCCTCCCAGCGGAGTTCGCTGTTCTGTGATGAGAGGAATGACAGTTGGTAGTTAAAAGCTGGGTCTCTGATCTAGCACATGTTAACTGTATGACTTGGAGGATTATTTAGTTTCTCGGTTCTTCAGTTCCTTTTCCAATAGAACATTCCTCATAGGTTTGTTATAAGTGTCAAATGACTTAGGACACCTCAAATACCTGGAAAGAAATGTGATGGGTTAGTGCCATCCGTATCATGGCAATCCCTGAACAAAGGGAAGGCCGGTGGTATTCGAAGGGCCCAGCCATTCTGGGCATGCAAGATGCCTCCAGGTTATACGTGGGAAGTTATTTGAAGTAGTCCTGTGCTCAAGTGGTTTCAGAAGCACTGAACGGCTCAGGACCCAGAAGTCTGAGACAGCCAATGTTCTGAGGCTATAATCCTATAAGGCCGCTGCTGTGTTCCAGAAAGTTGCACAGTTGACAAATCACATAAAGGAAATGTATGTGCGTATCCTGGGGGAATGGGGGAAAGACGAGGCGTGGTGACAAGACATCCTAGCCTAGCCACGAAAACCCAACTCTGATGCCTCCTACCTTTTCTCTTGTCCTTTAATTTTTCTGTCTGGTCTTCCCTTTAGGTGCACAATTGACAACCGGGTCACCCGGGTGGCCTGGCTAAACCGCAGCACGATCCTCTATGCTGGGAACGACAAGTGGTGCCTGGATCCTCGTGTGGTCCTCCTGAGCAACACGCAAACCCAGTACAGCATCGAGATCCAGAACGTGGATGTGTATGACGAGGGCCCATACACCTGCTCCGTGCAGACAGACAACCACCCAAAGACCTCACGGGTCCACCTCATTGTACAAGGTAGGTGGCTGGGGCGTGGCTGGGAGGTCTGGCTGGCTGGCTGGCCGGGAAAGCCTGTATTAAGAAATTTTCTGTGATCCTCAACAGAGATGAGTTCTACTTGCTCTGTCTGGCCAGGACACTTTCTTGGTTGTCATTTTGCAGTTAGAACCTGAATTTTCCAATAATTTGTCCATTGAGTGGGACTAGAATTTTTTGTTCTCTTTTGTTCCAATAATATCGTTTCTCAGAAATTTATCTTTTAATTATTGCTTTCCTTGGCATTTTTCTCCCCTAAGCTTTTTTTGTTTATTTGTTTTTTTCTTTTTTTCTAAGATTTCGTTCAACTTCAAGATTGCTTTATTTTAGGACAAGCATTTTCAGTGCACTCCTGGCAGTGCACATATGCCGTGCCCTAGGCCAGCCTTGAAAGAATGCAGAGCCAACTAAAATGTTCTGGGCACTTCAGCCCCCAGCTGCACCCTTCACAAGCACCCCCTTGCTTCCAGCTCACTGGCACCTCTCTCCTCTCCCAGCTCGGTTTTTGATACCATGCCTTCCCTTCCATACCTACGTCTGGTTCTCCCTGTTCCGGTTGCACCATAGCTCTTCTTCTGCATGTCCCAAACCCAGTTTGTCAGGCCTTGTGTGTTTGCTTGTTTTGTTTCTTGCATTTCTCTTGGTCCTGCTCTCTGTTTCTTAGCCCCTGGGAACAGCGCTCACCTCTTCCCCACGAAGCAGAACTGGTCCCAGGGCATTCAGACAGCACTTAACCAGGCGGACAGCTTCCTGGTTAGTGAGTGAGAGCTAGAGTCAGACTTGGCTGCTTTCTAGCTGTGAGGGCTTAATCAAGTTATTTCCATGCTTCAGGGTTCTCTTTCTGTAAAACGGGAACAATGTGGGGATTGAATGTTAAACGTACTAACACGTAAACATGCAGAAGAGGGCCTGGCACATGGAAGTGCTATTTAGGCATTAGCTATTTGGGTTTTCCTCTCTCTCTCTCTCTCTCTCTCTCTCTCTCGTGCTATTGTTATTTTTTAACTTTTTAAACACCTTCTTCAGTGGACCAAATGCCTCATAAGCATGAGCCCCTGAGCGAAGGAGTGCCAGCTCCTCTGTTAGACTTTCTTCCCAGCCCGCCTCCGAGTTCCCTTCCTCCAGCTCCATGGCAGTCCCAGGGCAATGAACTCCTCTGCTGGAGGGTCCATCAGCCGACCCCCTTGTCAGCATGTTCAAGCCAGGGGTGCAGAGCTGTGGGACTACTGGTTAGAGACATAATGGGAAGGAAGGTGACTTGAGAAGATCCCATATGCGCTGGAAGAGGTAGTAGGGCAGCTGGCTGCAGGCCGCGGGAGAAGGGAAGGTGCGGGTCATTGATCAGCACTGAGGAGAGTGAGTGAGACAGGGTGAGTGGCTACGAGAGGACGTCCCAGAGTAAGAGCAGTGCTGGATTGGCCCTGAGAGTACCAAAGTGATGCCAGCGGGTCGTTGGAGCCCCCTGCTCTGTGGCAGAGTTGGTCACACCAGGTGTTTATTATTTTTTTGCTTACTCTGTCTTCCCTGAAGAAAATTATGATGGCTTTTTCTTAATTGGTTCTATAAATGAATACTTTTCAAACTGGTGTGTGCATATCGCATTTTTAAAGGCAATGGAATTAACACAGGTGGTATCAGAATGTATTACAAATAGCAGAGTAGGTATTGCTCTGTGAGATTTTTGCATCAGTGTGTATATATATTTTTAATATAAAATGTATTTTTTATTGTGGATAAGTAGGCCAAAACATGATTGAGAATCCCCCTGGGATTCCCCGGGAATCCCTGGGCAGGCCCGTCGAATGCCCCAGTGCCACCACACACTCTGTCCTGGGCTGCTCTTGAGGCCCTCCCTCCGCCCCCCCCCCATGCACGCTGATCTGTGAGAGCAGAATACATAGTGACGACAATGAGAGACTAGGAACTAGGAATTATTACAGACATTTGCTTTAGAGAGCAGGGCCTTCATGGAACTTGAAAATGGAAGGAATTGTAAAAAATGCCTCCTTGAAAACAAAAACCATGTTTTTGTCATTTTTTCCTTAAGCCACACCCCCTCACATGCCCACACACCCCTGCCCTAAACATCTGGCAGAGTACCTTATACAAAGTGAATATTTAATAAACGCTTATTGAGACAAATAGCTCGAATTATAGGCAGGCGATCTTACATGGGCTCCCAGAGAGGGTTGAGTATTTGTGGGGGTGCGGTGCTGGGAGGGGGTGGGGAGGATGGAGTCTGCATCAGTCTTCACTTACGTCCAGGCTAATGGAAAATGTCTAATCCCCAGCTAGGTGTTCCCATCTGTGACTTGGCTAGGTGCCCTCTTAGCATGACACACCACCTCAAGTATTGGAATCTCATCTTGGGCTAATTTTCGAATGCTGATGGGTGTATTGATCTGGAAACAAGCTGGGTTAAAAAAGGCATTGGTCTTGTACACAGACTCAGCCCAAGCTAATCCTCTGTCGATATGCCTGGACTGAGTATTATTGACACTTTAATGAATAGAGGACCATAGTTTTCTCAGGGCCAACCTGACCCCCTCTTCAAAGCAATCAGACAAACTAAACAGAGCCAGACTCCTCTGTTTTTGTATTGGAAAGAGGATGTACCACCATCCTGGATTAAAAAAAGAAATATATTTATCTTGGGATCGTTTATTATACTGAACATAAACCCTAATTCCCCTAGCACAAGCTGACTGTCTGGATTTGAAGTTGCTATTCAACCCTGAGCAGAATGCTGCTGGAATAAAAGTTAGGTATATTAAGTTTTCAAAATGGTATTATGGTCATTTAAAAAAAGAACTAAAAACAGCAGCAACAAAAAGGAACTAAATTCTGCCCACGAGTATGTGTACTCGTGTGTATGTAGCCAGCTTCATATATGAATAAGCCCACACAGGAGGAAGGTCATGGCGTTTTCACAGTATGGTGCAAGCTGCTTCAGGTCTGGGGTTATAGCTTTCCCTTTACTGTCAAATATCCCACATCCCCTAGTACGTGGTGCTGGATCCCGTTCTCTGGTTGCTAGTCAGCATGCTTAGTTCTTGCCGGCAGCCTTGGTCTCCAGGCCATCACATAGGGCAAGTCTCCCGGACAAGCTAGGAGCAAGTGCCATCCTTGGGGAGGAGGGACCCTGGAGCCAGCATGGGAGGGAGGTGGAGGAGAAGGCAGTGCAAGGTGGTGGGTGAGCAGGGGCACAAGAGAACTGAGCTATAGCTGCTTGCTAGAGTGTCTATTTAAAAGTGAATATAAGAGCCGGGCGCGGTGGCTCACGCCTGTAATCCTAGCACTCTGGGAGGCCGAGGCGGGCGGATTGTTTGAGCTCAGGAGTTCGAAACCAGCCTGAGCAAGAACGAGACCCCCTCTCTACTAAAAATAGAAAGAAATGAATCGGACAACTAAAAATATATAGAAAAAATTAGCCGGGCATGGTGGCGCATGCCTGTAGTCCCAGCTACTCGGGAGGCTGAGGCAGGAGGATCGCTTGAGCCCAGGAGTTTGAGGTTGCTGTGAGCTAGGATTATGCCACGGCACTCTAGCCCAGGCAACAGAGTGAGACTATGTCTCAAAAAAAAAAAAAAAAAAAAAAAAAAAGTGAATTTAAATTAGCTAAAACCAAATAAAATTAAAAATCGGCATCTTCAGTCACACTAGCCACATCCCAGTGCTTTAATAGTCATGTGTGACGGAGGCTCCTGTGTTAGTCTATTTTGCGTTGCTGTAAAGGAACACCTGAGGCTGGGTAAATAGAGAGAAGAGGTTTATTTGGCTCACAATTCTGTGGGCTGTACGAGAAGCGAGGCACAGGCATCAGCTTCTGGTGAGAGCCTCAGGCTGCTTCCACCCAAGGTGGAAGGTGAAGGGGAGCCAGTGTGTGCAGAAGTCACGTGGCAAGAGGAAGCAAGGAAGGGAGGGAGGTGCCAGGCTCATTTTAACAACCATCTCTCACCAGAAATAGTAGAGCGAGAACTCACTCTCCTGCCCCCCATGATGGATACATTAATCTATTCATAAGGGCTCCACCCTCGTGACCCAGCATCTTCCATTAGGCCCTACCTCCAACATCAGGCCTCAGATTTCAACATGAGGTTTGCGAGGACAAACATCCAAACCATAGCCCTCTGATTTGGACAGGTCAGACGTAGACCATTTATGTGAACTTCCATCATAGAAAGCTCTCTTAGGCAGGGGTGTAAGTGGTTACCATTAAGGAACAGCAGGTGTTAAAGCTAGAATGGTTTTCCTTGACCTGAAGGGCCAGGTATGGTGTGAAAAGGAGAATGGAATTTTGGAAAGAGGATGGACATTAAAAAAAGATGGTGGTTGTTTACACACAAGAAAGAATTGTTGAAAAATTGGAGCAATGGGGTTCATACGGTAACTAGGACAGAGAAGAAAGTCGAGAGTCCAAAGAAATATCTGAAGGAGAATATGCAGAGTTCAGGGAGAGGCTAAGTGTGAGCGGAGGAAGGCGAATCCTCCAGGACGCAGATTTGCACCGTGCAGCCCTGGGGGAGGTCAGTACCAACATAGCTAAAGCATCGCATGCTCAAACTGACTCATCAGCGGAGGTGAATGGGTTCAGACTTCTTGACTGCGAGATGTTTTGAATACTCCATTCAAAATGTGAAAAGTAAGAAATGCCACCCATGGATTTGGGTGTCCACTTAGGCAACCACAGCATAATCTTTTAGGTCAGAGTGAGGGAGGAACATCTAAGTTTATTAAAACATCAGTCTCATGATTCCCACCCCCTTTACCTTGGGGTTTTCTGCTTTCTGAGTGCCATAAATAAGTGGCTGCTTCTGAAGTCCAGCTGAGTATTTTAGCCCTTCCACCCTCTTCATCCTGCTGCCACACCAACCTTCTTTTACATCTAAAATGTCCACGCCCCTGTCTCCATTGTTACCTGGGACAAGGCCACCTCTTGGGAAACACAGAGCCGGTAAAACACTCAGTGGCACTGAGTTGTT